AGCGGTGAGTAAATATATGATTGTTTCGCTTTGTGTAATGTTTTGACGGCACTTGACCCCCCGTTCGAAAGGTTATTTTATGAGGATTTCAATGGTGGCATTTATTTAAAAGGGGGGGGGGGGTAAATACTCGCCGAGATATTTATATTAGAAAAATTGAATCGAAATGTAATGCGAAACCGGCCTGTCGGGAAAGAGTTTTAATTAATTAAATTAAATTAAATTTATACCTGCATCATTTACAATATGTCAGTCTTGTAATCTGCCGGTAAATATTTGGTTCTTAATTTTAAACAATTTGCAGATAAAAGCTCAATTCAAAATCACAGTGATGCATGACATCTAGATGCAGTAATTCAAACAACCAAGTAAACACATATTCTGGACAATTTGCTGATCATATGGTGAATGGTGATAATATTGCATAATATAGGAAGATCATAGTGTTGCTAACATAATTGATTTGATGAGTCCATTATAAATCCCAATGCTATTAGATCTTACAATAATTAAAAATATTTAAAAATCTGGTATTAAATATTATATTAATGCGATGCCAGCAATTCTAGAAAAGCTAATAACCTGCAAACCAGACACCAAAATATATTTGTAACAAGAAAAACATGTAATGAAATCTTAGTGAATTACATATTAATGAAATGTTGAAAAACAATAAAATTTACATCATTAGTTGCTGTATATGCTTATTATTAAAGCAAAACATTTATTAATTAAAGCGCGACTCAATAATATTGTTGGCTGCATCATCGCTACCAACCACTGCTTTTAAATTGAGTGATTGTAGCCATTTGTTGGCATTATAAGAAAGATACTGCATCTGTTTTATTTTGACGATTCTGCTATAAATTGTAATTATTAATTTTGTATCACAATGAATGTTTGTGATGAATATTCATGATCATGAAAATGTGAACTCCAGCTGTATTCGACAGGCTGAATAGGCTAGCCACAAATACGCAGTGCGTACCTACTTTTATGCAACCGACTTAACTACGTGATTAAAGTTAATCACTATTTAACTACAAAATATAGTGATTAAAAAAGTGATTAAGAGTTTTATACAACCGGCCCCTGCATCACATCACTACGTGACGCGCACGTGACGGAAAAACCCCAGAAAAATCTTGAACATGAGCAACATATAAAAGATTGATTGTGACGAGCTTATGAAAACTTTATCGATGAAACCGTGAAACATAATTACGGGCTCGAATATAGTCTTTTTGGATTATTTCTATAGAACTATTTGCAATTCGAGCTTGACATATTAAAGCTTGTATATTCGTCTTGACTAACCCAAACCGTGTTACTATTTTTTTCGCTTATGTGTTTTATCATGATAAAGCCTTTTCACGTGACATATTATGGTTGGCATGATTGGCCAATAAACTTATGAATTATTAATGAGTATTTGAAATTTCTTTATAAAGACTTCTATACACAGTATAGGGAAATGACTGTAGCTGCTTGTTAAATGTGCAGTCCACAGTATTTGCAATCTCACGTTTTCGAGCATCTATGAGATGAACCCTATAGAATTGGAAGCCGATCCGTGTTGATTGTAAAACTATCAGAGTTATTGATAAGAACTGATCCCAAAACAAACACTGATTGGTGATGGCGCAATGCGCATTACAATAAAAAATTAATCGGGTTTTTTTCTCAATATATTTGGACCAAAAACAAATCTGACCAATTTCAATATTGATGAAGGACGATGTATTTTTTCAAATGTTGACGCATTTACTGTCAACATTTCCATTCACCAACAACAAAAAATATTTTCCCAACTTTTTAATGTTTAGAATCATTGGGGGGAGGGGGCGTCGTGCCCCCCTCCCAAAACCCCCTGTCGCCACGCCCATGTTGATTGCCAGTGGCAAACGAAAAAATGGGGGCATTTGGTTTCATCGATCAAATGAGATTTAATAATTCAGAACAAAGTTTCAATGGCCAATTTACCAGCGTACAAATTAAGTGAAGTTTTCTTATCACAATAAGTAGCATGATTAAACAAGCTCACAATAACTTTTAGAAACATATTGTTTCTTAACATGCAAACACATAATTAATACAAATAAACTTCGTTTAAAGTAACACCATATAAACTTGCTAAACTTAGCTCGACATATAGTAGGATATGAAATGATAGTTAAAAACCGTAATCGCGTGGGTGGTGGTGTTACGATTTACTATCGCAGTATTTTGAGCCAAAATCATCAGCTATTTTAATTGTATCTGTATATAGACCCCCAAATTCGCGAATCGAAATCCTAAATGAATTTGAAACACTGCCGCAAAATCTTGATAATGAACATAAAGAACAAATTATTGTAGGTGATTTTTCGTGTTTTAGCAGGCATCTCTCTCCAATTTTCTCCCTGCGCAGTAACCCAATCAGAAAAACATCAGTTATTTGAATAACTAAATTATATAAGTTCTCGACGATTAAGAGATGCCTGCGGAGTAGGCTACGCCTGAAGTTTTCTATAAAAGTGTTAAAATGCATTGAACCTTGATGAAGGTTGTCGGAGATTTCCATGGACTAAAGTCGATTTTATTTACGATCTACTATTATGGTGTTAAAATGACTTTTATATAATGTATACAGGGTGTATCAAAATAAACGCAATTCATCTTTTGTACTTAATAACTTTCGAAATACTATTTCTAGTTAAACGCTTTTAGGGTTACTTCAAAGCCTGTTCTTTTCTCTTTCAAACAAACTATTATCCTTGTCTCCAATGCTAGTAACAATTGCACAGGAAAAGATTTTATTTTTTTAGTAAAACCTATCATTTTTAGTTGCTGTTTAATTATGCAAGTTTACTATGTTATTGTTTAGTCGGTTTAAATGTTAGAATTTTCTTCTTTAAACTTTAATGTTGTCGTCACTACATCTGGAAAACGACGTAAGAACAAATTTAAAGTATTTTAAAAGAGACCAGGTTGTTTAAAAATTCTAAACGAATGCTAAAAATCGTCAAAACATTCTGGTGTCTGAGCCAGACACTGAGTGTCATCGAATTGCGATGTAATGTAAACAGAAATTATAGCAAGTTGATGTCAGTCAGCTTAGATGGTCCAAGCCAAAATTATATCGCATTTGAAGTTTCAAACTGAGTTAAAAATAGTGGAAGAAAAGCCGTAATTATACTTGTTGTTACAATCCATTTAATAAAATGCAATATTTCTTTGTTTTAATGAAAAAATCAGTTATTTTCATGAGAACGATTTGTTATTCCATCTCAATTTTTTTAATCTCCAATCGCAATAACGTAAAGTATTATTACCCGCGAACCAATGAGTTAAATTTACGAAACATCCCACTGTTAGAAAGCTGAATGGCTACGCTTTAAAATGAATGTAAACTTTAACGTTTTCGTTTATTATTTGCTTAGCAATTTACATTTCAGTCGAGGATTGCGCTTTTTTTATACACCTGTATATTTACTATCCTAAGTTGTCCTGTATGCAATTTATATACCATTAGGCATTATTTATTAAATAGAATGCAAATATTCATAATATGTGTTTCATATACCGTCAAATGAAGTGAGCTGATACAGACAGTCGGGCTGTGAAAGCATGGACATTCAAAACTGCACCGATATTTAATTAAATGAATTTTGGTTTTTAAATTATCTTATTATTATTACAAATTACCTAGGACTGCCAGTCTGCAGTCTTCAACTGGATGGAAATGAAGACTCCAGACTGGCAGTCGGTCGATAGCACGTGATAAAAAATATTTAAAAAAACAGAGAACGTGTAAAAACTTATTAAATATGAATAATCCTGGTTTCGCTTCAAAAATATTTAAATTCAAACCTATTAATAGTATTAAACGTATATCGAATACGTTTCTGCATGTTGATAGCAACGATAAACGTTTTGCTTTTTATAATATGACAATGTTTGCATGAAATATATGCACGTAAAGCCAAATTGATTGGTCTGTATAGACAATTTGAAACGGCAATATTTTATATTTTGACAGTGACTTGAGATATTAATGTTAGTAATTTCGATACAATTGTGATTTATTGTGATTATAATTGTAATTTATTTTAAAAAACGATATCAATTTTGAATATATTTGGACATTTTACGCCTACTGATAATAATACGTCTTTAAGTTGAGCAACGCTTTGTTGCCAATATAATTATTTTGATACGCGGTTTTTCGCAAATTTTGAAACAAAAAGAAATATGCTACCGAAATTGAAGATTAATATTTCAGTCAGTTTTTTATAAATATGCAGCTGTAATATATCAAAATCTAAGTTATCCTTTCCTCTATATAATAAAATTTATTTGAGTGTAATAGCTTCACTCGCTTTAGAGTTATTATGAAGAAACCTTTCTTCATAATAACTCTAAAGCGAGTTTGTCAGCATTAACAGTGGCTTGTGACGTGACGCTGAGTGTATATCCACACCGGAAAAGCTTGAAAAAATACGCCTGGCTACGGTGGGAATCGAACGTATACGACCTTTGGAATGCTAGCCCAATGCTCTGCCAACTGAGCTACGCGGTCAGGTCGGTTCGAGTATGTGATTTTTCGGAACAGAGTCTAGTTCCTTCGATATCAACGCAATCTAATAATCATAAATTTTTTCTGTGTTCGTGTTATGTGCTCAGGTGAATATGATGTTTGTGATGTTACTCTGAGTGTGTTGCAGGTTTGAGTTCATGATCAAATTTAGGCTGATAAATTGACAAGAAGTCACACAAACAAAAGTACAAAAAAAACTATATTCAAGAACAACCTTGAACATTATGACATGGAGCATTTATATCTATGGAACCGGATGTGACGTGGCATGCAAATCACAACATCCCCTCTTCTTTTTAAGACTGTTCAATTACGACTATACCTAAATAAATGTCATTTAAAAGTAAACTATGATAATGTTCTAGTAATAAAACTATAGGTAATGTTTACAAGTTGAGTCTTTCAGGCATTTTGTCCTTGTTTAATTTCTTCGACTTGACCTTCGAAGCTCAGGAGCAGGGACAGCATTCGCTGTACTTTGAACTGCGAGATCTTCACTGGTTGACATTTGATTCGTTGCATCATCAGCTTGTAAATCCTCACTTGTATCGCTAACTTCAGACGGAATGTTATCACTGAGCTGGATTTCATTGTCACCGCTAAAACTTTCACCAGTTGGACGAAGATGTTTTCGGTTTCTTCGCAGGAATGAACCTCTTTCTGTCTCTACCACATACAACCGAGGGGTAGACGCTACCTTGTATAGTACCAGGCTGCCATGAGACGTTAGACCCAGGATCAAAAAGCGAACAGGCCTGCGCGCTGGAAGTGTGGGTAAAGACTTTGATGACTTGTCATACAGAATCTTTTGCTGGTCTTCTCGATGTTGTAACTTCACATTGGAATCTCCGCCAGCAGAACACGATGGACTTGATACAGCCGGTAGATTGGTTTGGTAGATTTTGCAGTTTAATAGTTCTGCAGGTGATGGAAGATCGTGACTCAGGGGAGTGTTTCGCAAGCACAGCATAGCTAAGTGAGGATCAAGGTTACAATCCTTGCATTTCTGCAACAATCGTTTTACCGTCTGTACTGCTCTTTCACTATGACCATTAGATTGAGGACTTGATGTAACGTGTGTAAAACCATACGCACGACTAAATTCTTGAAAGGTAGATTAGGTATACTGTGTGCCATTGTTGCAAATAATCTTGCTTGGAATACCATGTTCCTCGAAGATAGCTCTGAGATTGGCAACAACAGTTGATGATTGGAGGTTTGGTAGTTTGCGAATGACAGGGAATTTGCTATAATAATCTGTGACAAGCAAATAATCAGCATTGTTCCAATGAAAGCCATCTGAGCGCAGGGTATGCCATGGTCCTGGAGGGACATCATGTGACACAAGGTGTTCCTTAGTGTTCAAATGCTGATGGTGTTAACAGGGTGAACAACTCTTGACCATCTCTTCAATATCTCGATTGATGTTTTCCCAGAAGACTGATTCTTTAGCTCTTAACTTACACTTCTCAGCGCCCTGGTGAGCATAATGTAGTTGTTGCAATACCTGGGGTCGGTTGTATAAAACTTTTAATCACTTTTTTAATCACCATTTTGTAGTTAAATAGTGATTAACTCAATACCTGGGGCCGGTCGCAATACCTGGGGCCGGTTGCAATACCTGGGGCCGGTTGCAATACCTGGGACCTTATTTAGGTCACACTAGTTAAACCACTGAAGGTTTCCTCGACCGTTCGTTGGAAGATATCTTGTGCACATACCAACCCAAATGGCAATCGAAGAAATCTATATCTTCCATAGGGCGAGTTAAAGGTTGTGTAGCGTGAACTTTGTTGGTACAATTTAATGTTCCAGTAACCACTGCGTGCATCGATAATAAAAAAACATGTTGTACCATTCAACTTAGAGAGAACATCGGCCAGGGACGGAGTAAAATGGTGATGGCACTTAATTGCACGATACAAATCCTTTGGGTCCAAACACAGCCATTGACTGCCAGTACTCTTCATGACGCAAACCAAAGAGTTGACCCAATCGGTAGGCTGTTCCGCCTTAGCAATAATTCCTTGTTCAACCAAAGAATCAAGTTCCTTCTTTAGAGGTTCCCTTAAGACTTCTGGAACTCTGTGTGGAGGGTGTACCACAGGGGGTATTGAAGGATACAAGATGATGTGGAATTCTCCTTGGAAGCACCCAATTCCTTCGAAGCAGTCGCCATAATGCTTGATAAGGTTCTCTTTTGCAGCTGATTTTCTGGTCGATGGTGGTTTGGGGCACAATGGTTGTAGTTCCTTTGACTGAGTGGTAATACTGTAGTTTAGGGTAATCAGATTCAAATCAGTACATGTTGGCAACCCAAGCATTGTAGGTCCAACAGTGTCTACTACATGAAAGACATATGGCTTAGAGTGAAAATCATGGGACAAGTTCAGAACACAAGTTCCAAAATGGCGGACAGAATGACCACCATAAGCAGTGATAACTGTGTTAGAACGTGTTAAATTCAAGGGTACACCTTTGGCATTACATGATATACTGTTGGATGCAGCTAATTCTTATATGTTTCTACAGAAATGACATTACCTTCTGCACCGGTATCCACTTTGCACCACAGAGGCTTGGCACCTTGAGATGAGTTCACCTGTACTTGGACGAGTGTTTGGGTGTTGCTCTTTGACATCTGATTAATCGATAAGGTATAAAAATACAACTGCTCCACCACTGGTGTTGCTGGGGAGCCACTGGAATCTGCATTCTGGATGGCATCAATCTGCTTTTTCTTGTTTCTCAGCTTATCTTGACTTTTAAGTCTGTTCACTTTATTTCGGAAGGGGTTCTTCTTCGTTAACTTCGAACGACACACTCTTTTCCAATGATTTTGCTTACCACATACCTTGCAAATTGTGCCATATGCAGGGCATAAAGATTTATCTGAAATATTATGCTCAGTACCACGTCCAGTTCCCACACATACAAATGGGTGGACCTCGAGGTTTGGTATATGACCTTCGAGAATGCTTCAAGGCATCTATATGAGTTGAACTTACACTTTTCATTTGGTTGTTTGTAACTTCCTCATATGAAGTTTTATCATATTCCAAAAGTTTTGACTTTGTACGTTTTGATGACTAGCCAAAAATAAGAGCGCCTATGATATGTTCATCAGGGTTTGTAAAATGGCATTCATCATTAGGTATTCTAATCTTCTTAACAACAGAATCAACAGTCTCACCTGGCTCTTGTTTTGTTGTTCGTAGCTTGAACCTGGAAAGGAGAAAGTTGCTTTTTGGAGATAGGTACTGCTCGAATCGTGTCCAGTGTACATCGAATTTCTTCTTATCCCCTTCACTAAGCCGCCATGTTGAGACCAATTCAATGCCATCGTCTCAAGACCAAATTAGCAGGTAGCTGACTTGTTCAAACTCCGTTTTTTCTTTTAATTAACGGACCATTGAAGTATAACTGACATTGGGCTTTGAATTTCTTAAATTCTTGAGGTGCATCAGGCGAATGCCAGTCCATGCTTGCTATCGGCAAACCAAAAAGACCAACCATCGTGGAGTTCGACGAACTAATTTGGCACAGATTTAGCGACAATAACACCAGCCGGGTGTAATAAACTTTGTCACCAATCAAAGCTAGTGTTTTCCAAACACACCTGATACCATGTTGTAGATTTGGGTTCAAATTTAGGCGGATATATTGACAAGAAGTCACACAAAAAAACTATATTCAACAACAACCTTGAACATTATGACATGAAGTATTTGTCGCTATGGAAGCGGATGTGACGTGACATGCAACTCACAACAGCGTGTATATCCACACCGAGCATGCAAGCATGAAAAATATGCCTGGCCACAGTGGGAATCGAACCTACGACCTTTGGAATACGAGCCCAATGCGCGATCAAGTCGGTTCGAGTATGTGATATTTCGGAACTGCGTCTAGTTCCTTCGATATTAATGCAATCCAGTAATCATGAACTTTTTTCTGTGTTGGTGTTCATATGTACTCAGGCGAATATGATGTTTGTAGCTCAGTTGGCAGAGCATTGGACTAGTGTTGTGCAAAGGTTGTAGGTTCGATTCCCACTGTGGCCAGGCATATTTTTCAAGCTTGCTTGCCCGGTGTCGATATACACACAGAGTAACATCACAAACATCATAATCACCTGAGTACATAACACCAACACAGAAACAAATTCATAGAACAGTGGATGTTAAATACAGCATGTTTGCCCATGATGTTTGATTTACTTTCTAATTTTCTTAGCACACTATATGTGCTTTTGTCATTTTTTTAAATAGTTGGTCACGCTATAACGGACAACGATTATTCCAAATGATGATTTCACAATAGCAATATACAACAGCGTCAGTGCTCAAATTCTGCATTATTCGATTAATGGTAAAACCTTACATATTACAGCTAGAGAATTAACTTTGCTGAACTTGTATACTACTCACAATCGTCATAAAACTGTAGCTTTGGCCTGACGTGGATGTTGCAAGATAAGGTAAATAATACAGTATAGTTATGAGACTTCACTAAACATGTACGAAATGCTCGGGGCATGCATGAAGATATCACCTATAGTACGTTAATATGTATAGATTATAATATGATTTCATAAAAAGAATGCATAATACGAGCTTATCATATGCTGCTATTCACATGTGCTGAAGTTCGTATGTGACGGTACGTTTATGCTTTGTCTAAAAATTTTCTTTATTGCTATATACTGTGGATGAACTGCAAGTTTTTACGAGCGACTTACAGTTCATACGATTGGCCGAAGTGGAAACGGATAATCTTTCCAGACATAGGCCAAGTTCGAGAAAGCAAAATAATTTTTTAATATTTGCATGTATTTATCAAAGCAGATCGTTGTGTAGGCCTACACGTAGTTCATCTTGGCGGATGATGCGTCAAAGTGAATTTATTGTTAGACAAGCTGTCAAGAGAATATCAGTAATTGCCGATGTAGGCTATATAGATATAATAGCACTATTCTTGCTATTTATAGTATTTTGTAAACTCAGGAATGAGTTTAAACAAGAAACAAATTTCAAGGTGATATTCGACTCTATGTTTCTAAAACATTGATATTGTCGATCTTAAATTCAATTGATATAGACTTAAAGCAGCATAATAGCTGCACGTCAAATATTTTTTTCGATTGAGGTTATACTCGATGCGCGGATCTGACTCGGTTTTCAAAATTTAACCAGTTGAGTTGAAATTATGCTTGCGGGCAAAAAATATTTCGAACGTTTCATTTGGTGCATGACCTTATAAGTTGTGTCAAACATGTTGGAAGCGCGAAAACAAGAAGAAAAAAAACAAGACACAAGATTTCTAGTAACATTTCGACTTCATTTTAAATTGGATTCAAGCCAAATAAAATGATAGAAACGTCAACTGCGAAAATTCGTGTGAGATGGGCAAGTTATGCATAACTATCATGAAATTATCAAATTAGATGTTAAAAGAGATCGTAGTCAGTGAAAACGAAAAGGGCCCTCATTATTAGTACTCAAGGGCCAATTTGCAAAGGCTTCCTTACTCAGACGCCGAGTGATACGATGGAATATTCGAAGTGCTTCTAGCAATTTTTGAAGCTGCACCTATTACAAGATTTAATGGCCCATAACAACTATATGGTTCACAAATACATTGTTATTTAGGCTACAAAGATTCTTTTATTTCTTTATTCATACTCCGACGAATGGTGTCCTGAGTCATTAAACAATAACCTTCGAATTCAAATACGAATTATTTTGTTCTAGAAACCTGAATAAATATAGTATAAAACCTTAACCACTTACGTTTTCAAACTTAGCGGTTGTTAGTGATATATAACTAAGAAATAATCAGGCTATCGTTTCTCAGCATGAACCGGTATATAGCTACACGTGACCCTATACAGTTTTCTGATAACACATAGAATGCAATGACTGTTTTATAGATTAGGTTGGTGCATTATAATTCATTGATTTTGTAAAGGAATACAATTTCTCAGTATTAAGTTTTTTGTTGCATTGTTATGCTGTTGTGGAGTTGCCTGACACTTTTGAGGTTTCTGCATGTTGAAACAATTTACGCAGTAAGGTAGTTTTATTTGGACATTTATTAATATTGTTATTTTCATTATAGCGTTTCATATAGTTCACTGCAGTGTAGATCACTGGAAAGAAAATAAGTGAAATCAATACTACGCAATTTGCAATTGCACCAATAAATCCATAGTATATCCATCCCATTTCCACACTATATCCATACTATGGAAATATACAATTATTATGGATAACCAAATTCCATTCTATTTCCAATAAAGGTCCATACACACTTTTCATTCTATGACCTTCTATGGATTTTTAAAATGTTTTCCTGTGGACTGCAGTACATATGTAGGAGTAACGCCTTCCACGGGAATACTCATCTAACTTTCCCTCAAAAACCCAGCTGGATGTGTATTTGAGAGATGTATTTTGTAAGGAAAGTTGTACTTGGGATGGAGACACGTCTACTTGGGAAGAGGAGACATCTAATTATATTGGGGGGAGGTATATATATGGAACGGGGAACATATATATATATATATATATATATATATATATATATATATATATATATATATATATATATATATATATATATATATATACTGAAGACTATATTCAAAAAAAAATAGTCGATGAGTTGACGTAAGGTAGAAGAGCGCTCAATACCATAATAA